GCAATAAACACAGATAAGGCTTGGTAGCAATGCAGCCTGCCAAGCTCACAGTACTGTTCTCCGACATTCACTTCTGCATTGACTTCTACAAAGAAGGCTGTGTGCACAAGTAGCTTTTATAGTCTGGAGAGGAGCCTAATGACCACCAGCTGAGTGCAATTACCTCCTGTAATTGCGTAATTGTTCTTGACGCCGAGTCGCTCTTCGATGGCGTGCATCCAGGGACAACTCACTGCTGGTTTCTGGATCACTCTCCCTTGTCTCCTGGTCCAAGGCTCAGGTGCCACCTGGTGGCCAACCAGCCTCTCTGCGCCCTGCTCGGAGTCGGAACCCTGTCCAGGGTCCTCCACATCCTCCAAGGCCAACTCATAGGGCCCCTCGCTGTCGGAGTCTGGTGGCAGCTCCAACGGCTCCTGCTGGGCCACAACAGAATAGAATAGAATAACAGCATGGATGTATCTTTTGTCTCCTTTTTAGGAGACAGTGAGGAATCTGGTGAGCGAGAGATCTCTCCTGCGGGAACTGAAAAGCATGCAGAGGCTGTCCAGACACTGCCTGGAAGAGGGAGAAGCATTTCCTGGAAGAACGGAAAGCGTAAGAGCAGCCCAGTTCAAAAAGCCAAGATCTCTGTTTCACGAGAGGACGGACCCACAACTCACATGCAACCCAGGTCCGCCTTGGAAAATCTGGAGCCCTGCAGGAGGGAGGAGAATAAGCTGGGCCGCCGTCCAGGTGTCTTAATAGACACCAAATGTTGTAAGTCCTTAGACTCTGTGGCCACCCCCAGCCAGAGGGGGCTCTTCCCTAACCTTCAATGTATCCTCAAGGGCGAGCAATCCTCCAGCTGTCTGAGCTATGGGAAAAATTCCCATCACGGTTTAAGCCCAGCCGAACATAGGGGCCAGCCTTCAGGATGTTCGGATTGCGGGAAGGACTTGGTTCTTACGAAGCGGGGAAGTTTGGATCGAGGAGAGGAGCTTTACAGGTGTTTAACCTGTGGGGAAAACGTTACTCTCTACTCCGGCCTGATGAAACAGGAGAGGATCCACTCTGGGGAGGAGTTGTGTCCTTCCATGAGCAGCGGGCAAAGATATCCTCCAAGGGGAGGTCTTTCCACCTTGGAAGAGCAGGTTTCAGCGGGGGAGAAGCCCTATCAGTGCCCCACTTGTGGGAAGAGCTTCCATAAAAGCTCAGCTTTTCGGTTCCACAAGCGAATCCATACTGGGGAGAGACCTTACACCTGCGGCGACTGTGGGAAAAGCTTCAGCCAAAGGTCCAATCTGATCTTGCACGAGAAAACGCACACAGGAGTCAAACCCTTCCGGTGTTCAGACTGTGGGAAGGCCTTCCTTCGGAGCTCCGACCTCGTGAGGCACGAGATCACCCACACCGGAGAGAAACCCTACACCTGCCCGGAGTGCGGCCGCTCCTTCAGCCACCACTCGACTCTGATTGCTCATGAGAGGACCCACACCGGGGAGAAGCCCTACAAGTGTTCGGTCTGCGGGCGGAGCTTCCGGCACCACTCAGGCCTTATCAAGCACGAGAGGACCCACACCGGAGAGCGGCCCTACACGTGTCTGGCCTGCGGAAAGAGTTTCAGCCAGAGCTCGGGGCTTACGCTTCACTCGAGAACTCACACCGGCGAGAAGCCCTACCAGTGCTCGGTTTGTGGAAAGAGCTACACGCAGAAGTCGAAATTGACGAAACACGAGAAGACTCATTTGGTGGAGATGGTGCAGTAGCTACCCAAGGAAAGAGGATCCGTTTAGGGACTCCCGGACATTAATGGTCTGACTTGGGGCTGGTTGGTTGTCAATAACAAAGCGTGTCAATAGCAAATATGTATGGATGGATGATTACATCCAAAGGCTACCCAAAACCGGCCTTCATTAGTTAGCAAAGATGGCTGTGAATCTCAGGGCTCAAAGGAAGAAGAATCGGTAACTCTCAAGGCACCAGCAGAAAAGGTCTCCCATTAGGACAGAGTTTCCCAGCCTTTCTGACGGGCTGGAGCAGGAGGGAGGGAGAAGACAGGATGATTTGGTGAGAGAGGCAAGCGCAAGTGTGTATTTAGGTATTTAGGTATTTAATAAATTTATAGGCCGCCCAATCTCAAAGGACTCTGGGCGGCTTACAGAAATACATTTTTAAAAGAAATAAAGAATTTAAAAAAAACAGAGAAAAAGAGATTAAAAGATCATTTCATGCACTCAATCTGGGCGGGGCTGGACCTCATTCATGAGGTCAACAGCCCCAGGCCTGCCGGAATAGCCAGGTTTTGGTAGCCTTTCGAAAGGCCGTGAGAGTGGGAAGGATCCGGATCTCTGGGGGTAGATCATTCCATAGGGTCGGAGCGGCTACAGAGAAGGCCCTCCCCCAGGGAGCCGCCAGCCGACATTGTCTGGTTGACGGCACCTGGAGAAGGCCCACCCTGTGTGATCTTATCGGCCGTTGGGAGGTATGCGGCAGAAGACAGTCTCGCAGATATCCGGATCCTAGGCCATGTAGGGCTTTAAAGGTAATAACCAGCA